AGACAGGGCTGATCTGCTAACCCTGCCCCTGGCATCTCTCCCTGCCGCTCCAGCAGCCAAGGTGCCCCAAGAGATGGTCCTCCTTGCCCTCCCTGCCTCCAGGGTGAGAACTGTGTCACCCTCTTTTCAAGGGGCTGCCTGCACTACGTGGTCCCAAACCTTGTGACAGGGCCAGTGGCAGTCCCCAGCCCCTGCAGCACCGTGCCCAGGGGACAGGTGGTGGTTCACCCAGGGCAGTGCCAGGACAGTAAGGTTTCTGCTCCTGTGGCCTCACATGTGGGTCACCCCTCTGGTACAGCACTGCACATCACAGAGGCTTCTCCTGCCGGACACCACAGCTGTGGTATGTGCCCCCCACTAGTCAGCAGCAGGCAGGAGGAGGGGACACTGCCATCCCCCCCAGAGCAGCCTCTGCTGCTGGCAGGTGTCATCTCCTGCCCTCTCTGTGCATGGAAGCTCTCACGGCTGGGACACATCCAGCACAGGGCACCGCAGCCTGCAGGCTCCCTCACAGCACCTGCACCAGCTGTAGCAGGCCCAGAGCATCCGAAACATTGCTTCAGAGGTGGGCTGAGACCAAGCTCATCCCTGGGTCTAGCCCCTGCTAAGTGCTCTCCCCTGAGACATGCTCCGAGCCCAGCAGGGAAATCACCTCCAACCCTGGGGACACCTAGGCACAGGCAGGGAGGACCCTGCCTGGACAGCCCTCTTGAGTTAGACGAGCTTTGGGATGATGTGGCAGTTCAGGCCGTGAGGTTCAGCACCACACTGGCACAGCAGACCATGTATAATTCCCTGTGTGTGTATTAATTACGGGCCCCAGAGTGCAAAGGCAATAATAGAATTACGATGCTGTCCCACCAGTCCCCTCCATGCGAGCTCTTCTCTGAACCCTTTAACTCTGGCTTAATCCTACCATATATTTGGCCCTTTGAGGACCGTTCACCTATAATCAGGCATTTCTCTCCTGTTCAACTCATTCCCTTGGCTATCTCCCACCTGAGGACAAGACTTTCTGCTTCCAGATGGTAAACGCTGTCTGTGCCTGAAGATATCACCACTAAGACTTTCTCATCAGCATAAGGCAACACTTTTGGCTGCATATGGGAAAAAGTTCAGGTGGTTGGGTTTTACCGGACATGAAGCCGTGATATCACCACTGCTGAGATGAAGAGTTGCACTGCCCTGAGTCCAGACAGAGAGCATTGGGGTGAGGTGGTGGTAAAGAGAGAAGATCCCTAAGAACTCTTTAGACTATTTATAAGGTAGAAATCAGTTGGGCTGTCTGTTTTCCTTGGAAATACATTATTTCTTCTTTTTAAAATCTCAGCTCTCTGAGTCACAATCAACATGTTCATTTACGAAAGCAGAGTAGTTTGAAGTGTAAAAATGTGAAGTGTAAGCCTTCAAAAGTCAAAAGGCAATTGAGATAAGAGCCCAATGCTGCTTTCTTAATAAACTCTCTTTAAATTACTCCTAATTTGGGAAATGAATGGGGAAGAAGGTGGAAGATACTGACTCACAGTATTTGACTATCTGTATTTGATAATGAAACTACTCTGTCCACAACAGTAGCTTATGAATGGTTCCACACACTGATCATTCCTACAACCAAACATGAACAAAAAGCTCCTTCTTGCATTACCAACATTTAAAATGATAGCTGGTATCAATCTGTTCTAATCACGATACATGGATAAGAGACCTCCTCCTTCTGGCTGCACAAATTAACTTTCCACCCCATAATTGCATGTTGGGGAAGAGTCACATACACATCTGCCTTTAGGGAGGTTTCGCACCTCCCTAAATGTCTTCAGAAAATTATGCCCATTTACAGCTTAATGCTGCACGACTGATAGCAGCAAGCCCAGAATCCAGCCACAGCTCCACCATCAAGCTAGTGTATTCATCACATTAAGAAACAAAAATAAAGCTATTTTCTTCTAAAGCCGGTGGTCAAGCAGCATACCTGTATCAACAATGGTCCCAACCCAGCCATGCTAACAGGGTACCTGCCCTAGCCAGCTCTGCCCCAAAAGGCTGTGCTCAAAGCCAACTACCCAGCTCAATCACACATCTGCTCTGCTATTAGACCTGCTCGCATTAGCAAGCTCATCTTTTTGCATCATCCAAGGCTCTTCTTTGAATATTGCATAACTAATTACACACACAGACATCAAGTTTGTTGAAAAGTCACTGCTCCCAATAGATCAAGGGGTCTGCTGATGAGAGAAAGACCACATTTCTGCAGTCTCCTCTCTAGACCTGAGCAAAGCTCCAGGGCAGCCTGGGTGGGGACGGTTTCTTTGCAACAAGTTTTATCCTTCAGTGCTTAATCAGCCCTGTACTTCAAACCAGTAGGGCAGGTGAGCCAGCTGGCGAGGGGAGAAGCAATGCAGTGAAAGCACCTGTAGCACCTTGCAGTGTTTGGGGAAAAAAATTTATTGCTCTGTGAAATGCACAATATGACTTTGTAACCGTTAGAGCCTGCAGAAGTAGGTATTTCAGTTTTTAGGCTCATCTTTTGAAAGTCTGTTGTAGATTTCCCTTAGGAAGCATGACTGGGGGAAGCGACAGGTGTGGTGGTTGTTTTAGCCTTCCTGGAGACAGCAGCAGACCTGGTTGCTTTTCTTGCCTGGACCCTTGTGTTTGCTTGGCTTTTCTCCAACCCCACACCTAGCTGGCTCTAGAGATGAAGGTTGGAAAACTGCTTTTCTGTGGTATTAAATTGCCTGTTCAGTTAAGGTTCATGGCTGGCTCACCGTGCCATAAGCCTGCACCAGTGCCAGGGAAGTGCTAGGACTACAGGGCTCGAAGCAGGATGCTCCAGAGGCAGGTGAGTTGTGTCCCAAACAGCAGCAGGCGGGTGCTCTCCTACCATGGGGGCTGAGCGGCTCACAGGATCACTCCTGCCAAACACTCTGTACATCCCCTGCTCTGCTCCTCACCTCTCATCCAAGCCCTAGTGCTATGTGCCAGCTCCATTGCCTGGCAGAGCTTGCTAGCTCAGAGGAAATATAATTAGGAAAAAGAAAGCGTGTGACTAACTTCTGGGGCAATGAACCACATAAATTAATGGAAGGAAGGGGCAGCCACAAAATGAAGGGAATGGGGGATAAAAACATCCCTTTCAGAGGCAGCAAGCTGCCAGAGCAGCTCAACTGCTTAAAGAAATGCAGCCCCCAGCTTTCTTTAAAATCCCAGTGCAAAGGAAATATTCAGCCCCAGGGGGTGTCAGATGACTTTGCAGAGGGCTCAGAGATTAGTCGCTCAAGTGTGCACTTCTCTGTTGGCTCCTCTCCCTACATCCAGCTGAGAGGGACATCCCAAGGGCTAATGAAAGCACCAGAGATGCTGCAGAGAGCAGCTGGGGAGCCTGCATATGAAAAATTTTCATATATGTGGGGTAATTGCAGGAAAAGAAAAAGAGGAAGAACTTGACACTATTAACTGTGCAGTGCAATGACATCTGAATTTGAGCTGCCTGATCTGTAAGTCCTCAGAACACCACATGAACACTACTACATAATTTTTGCCTGCATTACACTCAATTCATGATACAGCTAATCCATTGAGATTAAGCTACTGAGCTAGAGATATATAAAGCTATAAACTCCTACAGATTTTCATACTGAAAGGAAACAAGATGAATAATCCAAAAGAAATACATGTGTAAGGTGAAACCCTGTGAAGTAATCCTAGCAGAAATAGTTTTCTTCAATGTTTCCCCCAAAGATATCCCTGCATGAGGAAAAATTTGCCTGCTTTGCATGTATGTGTGTGTTGGAAACACTCTATAGTGCCACTTTGACAGCCACCATCACAATTTAGTGGACTAGTATGTTGCAACAAATTACTCCATTTTAAGTTTTATGTGAAGGCAAAAACAGCTTTCAGTGCAGGCTTGGGTTACAGTTCCTCTCTGCCTCCCTTGCACACTAGCAGGAGTAGCTGCCGCAGAGCCCCGAAGGCAGGTAGGCTGCCTGCCCTGCCCCAGTGCTCTCCCACCTCATGCCAGGGCTAGACGGCCACCCTCCAAATGCCCTAGCTCCCGCTGGGACTCTGGGCCCCATTTCTTGAGCACTGCTCCCTGTTTGAAACATGGATATGAATGTTTTATCCATATAACAACAGTGTTAGGAAAATAAGGTATATTTGGAGAGAAAAGTGTTCAGACTCTGCAGTGTCAGTACTCGAAATCAGAAATTCCCAGCTCATACTTGGATGTGCAACACCTGCAGCAGCAAACATTGGTATTGGCATCAGTGGCATGGGCGGTTCCTAATTCAATAGTGAGTCATATCTACATGCAGGAGAGGGCCTGTCCCCACTCAGTTACAAAAGCTGCATGCTCACACGTCTCCACCCATGCCACTCCTCAGCCGTGCACCTTCTCCTGTCCCATTCAAGAGATTCTCCCATGTGCTGGGCCAGAAATGCAGGTTCTGTTTTGGCTGGACTCCTGCATTTTGTACTGTGTGGGAAGTTACAAGAACTAGAAACCGGGTCCCAAACTTGGCTGAGATTCCTTGGAGGTATCAGCTCCCTTGCCTGCTTGACATGGAGTGGGCAAAAGCAGGAATCTGGCTTCTAGGTCCCATATATCAGCTTGCATACCACTGGTGAAATGACTGCACTTAGTTTCGTAAGCTAGTGAATGATTAAGGTACCTTGAGGAAACTAATTCTAGGCAGCTATTCATTTAGCATGTGACTTTACTGAATACTGTTTTGAGTTGAAGCTCTATGCAAAACACCAGGGAGCTGATTTTCCAACCTGGGTCTTTGAATCACAGATCAAAGAGGGAATCCATATTTCAGAAAAAAAAAAAAAAAAAGAAAAAAGAAAGGAAGAGTAATGTTTCCTGGCAGCTCCTCCTCCTCACCCCAGCCTGTACCTAAAGAGGACTTCATACAACACAGGGGGAAGTGGTGAACAGCATCTTAACGCTAATCCCC